ATATATATATATATATATATATATATATATATATATATATATATATATATATATATATATATATATATATATATATATATATATATATATATATTTTTTTTTTTTTTTTTTTTTATTATATATATATATATATATATATATATATATATATATATATATATATATATATATATATATATATATATATATACACACACACACACACACACTGGTCCTCGTTAACGAGATTTCGGTTAACAAGTTACATCCCATAAGATTCTTAACTTCAGTTAACGAGCAATCCTTCGATTAAAGAGTTTCTTACTTGTTCCGACCTGAATATGTTTTCGCTTGCACCTTGGCGGTCAACCAGCTGTAGTATTAGTCTTCCAATACAGTAATCGGTTCTAGGGCTTAAATTCCTAACTACAGGTTGTACCTCTCTAGTCTGGCATTCTGTGGTCCGGAAACTCCCGTGGTCCGGAACGATTTTAGTTTGTCCAATAGGTAGATAGGCAGCCTTTTTTTTTTTTTTTACTTATCTGAATTATTATTATTATTATTACAGGAGTATTAAATTTTTGCCCCTCAGGCCCTAATGTGGGTCAGTGACCTATTCCCGGGTGGGCTAATCCCCTTAAAAAAAAAAAAACCGCGGGAAATTAAGGTTTGTTTACATCCGGCAGTTCGGCTGCTCTCTCTCTCTGCTTGTCTATACAGAGTACAACATTTAACCCTTCAATATATATGAGCAGTAAATAAGTGTTGCTTTCATATTCTTATGTAGAGTAATGACGATATATTTTCACATGTGCGCACTTACATACGAGCAGTCTCACTTTTTTTTTACCATTAATGGTTAGCTACTTATATTGTTCCATTTATTAACATTAAATAACATTACAGGTACTTCAAGCAACCATATTCATTTTTTTACATTAATTTTACTACAGCTAAACTCAGGGTCTTATTTTCTTCAGTTTTATATGTAGAACCAATCAGTCACTGGTTTCGTAAGCTTTAACATAAACAATGCCGGCAGCCATCTCGTCTCCTCTAATATTCCACGTATTATTAATAAATTGTATTGTTAATTTTGCACACACGTACATTAATTCAATAAAAACAAATTCAGAAACATTAATTAAAATATATATGAACAGTAAATAAGTGTTGCTTTCATATTCTTATGTACAGTAATGATGATATGTTTTCACGTGTGCGCATGCGCACTTACATATGCGATCTCTCTTGTTTCTTTACCATTATCGTTAGCTACTTCTATTGTTCCATTTATTAACATTAAATAACATTACTTAAAACAACCATATTAATTTTACTACAGCTACAACCAAGGTCTTATTTTCTTCAGTTTTATATGTAGAACCAGTCAGTCACTGGTTTTGTAATCAACGAATACAATGCTGTGTCATTTCCTCGTGTGTTTTAATATTCTACGTATTACTAATGAATTGTATTGCTCATTTTGCACACATAAACATTAATTCAATAAAAAAGACATTCAGTAATAAACAATAATGAATCTTTTGTACATAAGAGAAATGACGCTGTTTACACGATTATGCACATCGTCTGCATGTTGGCGGGCCGTTTAAACCAGTCGAAATTCAAGTTTCCGCCATCAAAATTTTTATTTATTTATTTTTTTGTGTGTTCCAATAAAATACGTTAAGAATTAAAAACTTGCGAAATTTGAGAAGCTACTATACGACATTTAACCCTTCAATATATCTTCAAAGAGACCATGATGCAGAGAAAGTGGTGCTAGTGCTTCCAGGCATAAGCACAAGTCACTATCTATCCAGGAAAAGGGTGAATTTCCATGGTCCGGCACCAGTCAGGTCCCGAGGTTGCCGGACTAGAGGGGTACAACCTGTATTTTAGTAAATATCAAGAAGTTTATACTATTCAATAATCTTAAAAGTTTAATATTAAATTTTTTAGTCATTTTAACAATTATTGAACATAATTGAAGGTAAAGTCACTAGTTTCATGCACGCCATCCAGCCTACCAATATACCATACAGGCGTTAGTCTCTCTGTCTTTTCAGTGGAGGTAACATCTTGCTTGAGACTCTCTTCAACTAAATGCTTTTTTTCTGTGTTTCCAAGCAAATTATTGGTTATTTTGAAATTTCTTTTACATATTGACAATATGTAGCGCAGTGCAGTGTTATTTTATAGAAAATAATCTTGAATAACACCAAGTTTAAACTTAAAATATCACGTGTTGAGATTATTTGAATCCAGCATAAGGCCTAAGAGATCAAGAAAAGCAATTTCAATCCAAACCAAGCAGGAAATTATAAAAAAAACATGAAGAAGGCATTGGAACAAATGCGCTATGCAAAGAACATGGCATGTCGACAATTCTTAAACAGAAAAAAAATTTAAAGAAGTGAAAGTGAGAGACAAATCTACCAGAGTGTTTAAAGGTAGATCCCTAATTGCAAAAACAGAGAGGTTACTTCTCATCTGTGAAAAACAGATGAAAGGTGATTCAGTTTCTACTGAATTTACTTGTGAAAGAGCCAGGGAGAATTACGAACATTTAAAGACAGATCAACCTGGTTCTTCAGGCACAGAATTTGAAGATTTTAGGGCCAGCAAAGGCTGGTTCGAAAAATTTAAGAAAAGAAGTGACATATTTAGTGTAGTTAGGCATGGTGAGGATGCTAGTGCTGATAAAGAAGAGGCAGCAAAGTTTTTAGTGGAGTTTAAAGAACTGATGGCTGAAGAAAATTATCTTCCACAGCAAGTGTTCAATGTGGACGAAAATGGGCTGTTTTGGAAAACGATGCCCAAAAGAACATTCATCACCAGAGATGAAGCCACTTTACCTCGGCATAAACCCATGAAAGACCGTCTCACTCTATTGCTTGGTGCCAATGCGTCAGGGAATTTCCGACTGAAGCCTATGCTTGTCTACCACTCTGAGAACCCCAAGGTGTTCAAGCAACAAAAAGTGGAAAGAGGAAAGCTTGGAGTTTATTGGAAGTCCAACCGTAAGGCATGGGTGACAAGACAGCTCTTTAATGAATGGGCTGTTGAGGTGTTTTGCCCTTCTGTCAAGAGCTACCTAACCACCAATAAACTCCCTTTAAAGGCTCTTCTCCTCATGGATAATGCCCTTGGGCATGACCCTGAACATGCCAGAACTTTGGAGTATCAATTTGACTTTGTGAAAGTGTTGTTTTTGCCTCCCAACACTACATCAATCATACAGCCAATGGACCAGAATGTGATCAGCAACTTCAAGAAGTTGTACATGAAGAAAATGTTTGGGAGGTGTCATCAGGCAACTTCCACTGATCCTGAACTAACACTGAAACAGTTCTGGAAGACACAATTCAACATCCTGGAGGCTGTAAAATTGATTGTGTCATCATGGCAAGAAGTCTCCACTAGATCCCTCAATTCTTTATGGAAAGCACTGTGACCATCAGTAGTCCATGATTTTGAGGGATTTGAGGAAGAAACAGAGTTGGACCAGGAGATTGTGTCCATTGGTCAGTCATTTGGCCTTGAAGTGGAGGAGGAGGATGTGGAAGAGCTTGTGATGTCTCATGAGGAGGAACTTACTCATGATGAGTTGAAGCAACTGGATGAGATGTTAGAGGCTGACAAGGGTGAGGAGATAAGGGAAAGCAATGACCATATGTCAACTTCAGAGTTAAAAGATGTCATTTACTACTGGGAGAAGTTCAGGAAGCTGGCTTCAAGGCACCCAGATGTGGAAAAATCAGAACTAACTTTGTGTCATGTTGAGGACACAATGGTCTCCTTCTTTAAACGTAAGTTAATGATGAGGAGGAGAGATGCCCCACAGACCACAATTGACACTTTCTTCAGTAAAAGGCAGAGGGAACAAGATGCTAGCCCTCAGCCTTCCACTTCAAGAAGGAGAGGATGATGCTTGCCCTCAGCCTTCCACTTCAAGAAGGAGAGAGGATGTTCCTGGTGGAGAATTTGTCAGTCCAGAGGTTCCTGACATTTTCATGGAAGGTGACTCACCTTCCAAGAAGCAGTATGAAGCTTCTCCTCCACCTCCACTTCCTTCTCTTCTCCCTTCTCCTCCTGCACCTCCCACTTCAAATTCACATCATCATCATCCAGGAGCCTTCTACATATACACCTCAAAATAAGTGTACATTTCTACCTTTTTTGTTGAATTTAGGCAATTTTCGGTGAGCAGGAACCAATTACCCAAAAACCCATTGAAACAATGGTTTCGGTTAACAAGTTTTTCGGTTAATGAGCAACCTGCTGGAACGGATTGTGCTCGTTAATCGAGGGACCACTGTATATGTATATGCTAGCCCGCGAGATCAACCTGTCTTGTTCCTTTCTCCAACTCTTGGATGATCTTGTATTTAATTTCGTAGGTTAGGGAACATCGTATCTTCTTTGGCTTAGGGCGACTGGGTCCAGGTAATGCAAGGTTTCTTTGTGGTGGTGGTGGTGGTGGTCCGGTGGAAGCCATTCTTATGGAACAAAGGATACCGATATAAACGGTGCAGCCGGGAGGGGTGTAACTGACGCGGGTAGGTCAAGGGGCTTGATTGCTCCCGCGGTGGGGTACGTCATAGTACATTAAACCAATCACAGCTAGCGGGGGATGGAGGTAAGGATGCTTGGCCCAATCACAGTCCAATACGTCATATGACGTCACCGATAACGCAACAAAGACATACACTGCGCAACCTACTCGCGCCGCTTTGAAAACCTTTGATCTAGACGTAGGAGAGTTATTTAGTGGGTCCCTTATTTTTTACCTGACCTGACTAGTCACGTCACCCCCTTCTCTTAAGCTCCTCTACGTGTGTGTTGGTGTGGGGATTAGTGGATGACATCATTATGACCTGACCACATGTTTAATAAGGTCACCCTGTATATTTAAGCCTCTCTCTGTCCATGTAATCCAGTTGCCTCTGAAGATGTCTTGAATAAAGACGAAAGCTAAGGTGCTCTGTTGTTTCCCTTTTCCCGTGTGATTTTATCAAGATATATATATATATATATATATATATATATATATATATATATATAAAATACAGTGGCTGAGGGAAACTTCATGGAGCAATGCACGTCCTCCCATTATGAAAATATCCACACCTGAAATATATCATCTTGTGAACCATATCTATTCTATCTATTTATTATCTTCACTCCGCGACCACTGTTGTGAGGAATGGATTATGGGCAAGAGAAAACTGAAAGAAGGGAATGAATATGGAAGGATGGTGGAAGACAAGCATTAATATAGACAGGAAAGTTCCAAGACATCAAGCAGAACAATTTCAAGTGATGAAAATGTTGAACAACGTACACAAGGAAAAAAATCACCAAGGCAGGACACATATCACATCGGAAGCAAGGATGACAAACATTAACCTTGTTACCACAGAGGAATATCACCACAGTCATCACAAATATGCCCAGTAAACATCCAAGGTGGAATGTACAGTATGGTATGTTACTAATATAAATTTTTACTGGGGTCAAATAAAGTTAGTGCAACATCTTACAGTCACAATGATGGATGCAGGTATAGTACAGTATTCTGGATGTTCAGCAGCCCTTGGCAGACTAAAATCCACATGATCTGGACACATGGCTGATGCAACACCTCAGCCTAAACCAGTTCAGATGAACCTGTGTCCATTAACACCTTGGTGTATTGTTATGCCACTTGCCCACAACAAGGATTCAAATTTGTGGCCATGAAATTTAAGGATGGTCCTTGAATCTTCCATTTGCTAAGACAGGTCTCAGGTTACACAGGGAAGAGATGCCAATTGGACTGAATACTATAAGTCACGGGTGTTGTGTCAGATGTGTCAAGAGTTACAAATACAAAATATCAGATATAAAACCATGAAGGATGTACAGTACTGTACTGTAGTGTAGTACATGTTTATAGCCCTTGTAACTGGTCACTGTGAGACTTAGCCTTGGTCAGTGGTATATGGAACAGGGGCTGTCAAGGGCCTCTTCTACCACATCCACCTCCTGCTTGATGTTAACCTCACAGCTGACATTCTCCTCCTTCACCTCTTGGCCATACAGGAAGACACTTACAGCTACAGGTACCTCACTGCATGATGTCCCATCACCAGCTGACCTTCCACAGGATGTTTGACTGTCTTGTGTTACTTCCTGTCCATCTTCTCTAGTTCCTCCATTTGCTGCAGGTGTCATGAAAGCTTCCTGCTTATGAAGTGCTTGGGGCTGTACTGAGATGTAGTGAGGACGGATAGGTTCATATTCTGTAGGTGAAAAGCTACCTGAAGGTAAAGTATCCACTGGTGGTAAAGATTCACTTGCAGCTACAGAGTTCTTTGGTGGCAAAGATTCACTTGAGGCTACAAAGGTACAGATGTACAAATGTTGACTCTTACTTTCTTCACAATACTTTAGTGGTAGAAGTCCATTTGCACATTGTTCATTGTATCCATAATACTTACTGCTGGATGGATGTTTACTCACCTGAGGACATTGTTTAGATAGTCTTCCTGCACTATCCATCTTACTTGATGTGTCAGCAAAGTTAACATTGTCTTTGGATTCAATTAAGTTCACCACTTCTTTCCTTCCTGTTGAATGAACTACTTGAATTCTGGAAGTCTGTTTCAAAGGTTCAACCCTTGATGGAAAGGTATTGTCAGTTACTTCTTCATGGCCCAATGTTACATTACTGACAACCTTTGAATCTTTGTTGAATTGCTGATACATTGTGTCTTCTCTGAATACAACTTCTGGAAAAGTTTTGTCAGGTAACATGGATGGAAGAATTTTGCTTCCCTCTACAGGCACTGGAATTGGTCCTTGTGATATAGAAATTATCTTCCCAAAGTCTGAACTCACTACAAAGTCTGTGTGATCATCTGTCCCTACACATACCATGAATGGTTCAGCAGTATTTCCTAATTTCCCAACAATTTCTTTTGGTGTTATTTCACACTTGGAAAGATCCTTCCCGTTGAGGTTGCTTCCCAAGAGCATTCCATGTGGGGGACGGGTGCCATCATGAACCTTCATGTGGCGGGTCAGACTGCCTTTCTCTGAAAATTTCTTGTTGCACTTTTGACATTCATAAGGTTTCTCTCCTGTGTGGACAAAAATGTGATGTTTTAGGTGAGACTTCTTGATACATCTTTTGTGGCAGAACTCACACTCAAAGCTTCCCTGTTTCTTTTGTTTGAGTGAAATTCTGTTTGATGAATCCTGATTGAATTCATTATCATTCACTGGATTGTAAAAGGCACTTTTCTGTAAGTTACTTTTGTCTCTCTTCTTTGATTTCTGTGGTTTCTCAACTGTATGTATTTTCAGGTGAGACTTGAGATAGGCACTACAGGAAAACCTTTTCTCACATACCTTACATTCATGTTCCTTATCACCACTATGGGTTCTCTGATGTCGAGTTAAGTGGCATTGCTGCGAGAACTTCCTGTTACATTCCTTACAGACAAAGGGTTTTTCTCCAGTATGAAGTCTCCTATGTGTGGTGAGATGAACTCTTTGTGCAAATTGCTTACCACAAATTTCACATTCAAACGATTTTTCTTTATTGTGAGTTATCTTATGCAATGAGTAATTGGGTCTTTGGCGAAACTTCTTGTGACATATCTCACACTCATAAGGCTTCTCACCAGTGTGTAGCCTAGAATGATGAAGCAGTGAGCTTTTATGTGTGAACCTTGAACTGCACTGTGTACAGGCAAATGGCTTCTCCCCTGTATGAAGCCTCATATGACACACAATACTGCTCTTCTTGTTGAAGTTTCTGCCACACTGGTTACACTTGAAGACCTTACCACCCTCAACTGGTTGTTGGTCGACTTCCACCTTTTCAATCTTTACAAAATCTTTATCAGACTTGAAACTACAGACAGCCATTAGGAAATGTGGTATCTCAAAATTTACGAAAATACATTATTATATCATTTTAACCTGCAGGCAATAAAGGCAGAACTATTTCTTAACCATTCAGGCACAACATCAAACTCTTTTGTACGACTCTTTTGATTTTACAGTTATATACTTCACATGGGTAAGACTTAATAAAACAAGCCAGCAACTAATTCATATGTGTGTGTGTGTGTGTGTGTGTGTGTGTGTGTGTGTGTGTGTGTGTGTGTGTGTGTGTGTGTGTGTGTGTGTGTGTGTGTGTGTGTGCAACTACGATCTATTTACCCTACAGTCATTTCACTTCACCAAACCTTCAACAGTCACCTCATAACAGTCCTGATGTTGACACCATCTTCTACATTCACATGACACAGGCTGTTGAGGTGTAGAGCACACTCACTGTTCACCTCCCTCACGTACATAAGGATCATCGCTCCTTCACTGTGGCTACACCTCACTCAAGTGGCTGAGGCTCACTGATCCTTCTCACTGTTCACTTCTCAGCTCTCTGCTTCACTGTGTATCATCTGGGTTCTGGTAGTCCATTGCCATCCTGCTGTAAGACAACACACAGGATATGATTCAGCAAGAGGAAGTCATGACAAAAACGACACCTTACAAGTGATATAATCAAGAGGTAAAAAGATAATTACTATACCTGGGATCTGAATTACTGTACACACATATTTTAAACACACAATTACACTTTGAAAATCTCTCTCTCTCTCTCTCTCTCTCTCTCTCTCTCTCTCTCTCTCTCTCTCTCTCCTGAAATTTAAATCCAAATGCTCCACGACCCCAATTGACCTCCCAATCAAAATATACAAGGAGTTTGCAGTCGAACTTGCCACCCCCCTCTGCTCTATTATTAATGCATCCCTCAGACAAAGCAAATGCCCTAATGAATGGAAAACCGCATTTGTCACCCCCATCCCCAAGGTCACCACCCCACAGTCCCCTTACGACCTCAGGCCAGTTGCCATTACCCCCATACCCAGTCTACTTTGTGAGGACTTTGTTTTTGAGTGGGCATTTGCCAGTATCTATCAGTCAATTGATCCACAGCAATTTGGCAATATGAGGACCTCCTCTACATCACATTGCTTGGTGAGCTTTCTGGATTTTCTGCACAAAAACTTGCAGAAACGTAAGATATCACTGGCCGTTGCCCTTGTGGACTTCAGGAAGGCCTTTGACCTTGTTGATCACTGCATTGTTATCAACAAGGCTATTGCACTAGGGCTGCCCACCAACCTGGTCTCATGGCTCACTGATTTCTTGAGTGGACGTCGCCAGGCAGTGAGGTATCAGGGCTTGGTCTCTACATTCCAACACCTGACCTGCTGTGTTCCCCAGGGGACCAAGATGGGACCACTGTGCTTCCTCATGCTGATCAACAACGCTCTATCGGACACTCCTCACAGGTGGAAGTACGTGGATGACTGCACTGTGGGGGTTTCAGTGGACAACACCGCACCAGACTACTCATCGCTACAAGGCACCCTGGACAGGCTACAGGCATGGACTACGGAGAACAAGGTCACCATCAACCACACCAAAACCGTAGTCATGCACATCAACACCGCCACCACTCCAGTGCAAGCCCCAGCAGTCACAGTGGGTGCCCATCCTCTCCAGCTGGTGCAGTCTGCCAAACTCCTGGGTGTAACTATAGACAACAAACTTGACTGGAAGGCCCATGTAAATAACACAGTCAAGGCAGCCTCGTACCGTCTCTACATGCTACGACGACTTAGGTCACTTGGGACACCCACGCCAAACTGAGGACCATCTACAACGCCTTTATTACTGTACAGACAGCTTGGTAAAGAGAAAAGTTGGCTATGACTTTGAGGCTGTTAATGTTAAATACCCTGGAGCGCAGATGACCAAAGGAGGCAACTGCATGATGGATCTGGGCCTCGACCTCCTTGTTGATGTTGTGCTTGAGGGAAAGAACACTACTGAGGTAGGTAAAATGTGCTACTTGTTTGACAGGTTCTCCGTTGACCAGGAATGTGCCTCTGTGATGAGAAATTATCTCTGTTTATTACATGTTAACTCGCAGTTCAATGACCTGGTATACTGCAGAGTCAATGAAAGCTATGTAGAGGTCACGGTTTTGTTCATGGCATTTTTCCTGTAGTAGTTGATGCATAATTACAGCAAGTACCTTATCTGCCACAGCCAAGAGAGATATGCCTTGGATGTTGCCAGAGACGAAACATAATGGTCACTTTCTCTTGTAGACTGCAATGATGTTTGAGTTCTACCATTTGTTAGGGACACTTTTGTTGAACCAGGTAGCAAGAATGAGTTGGTGGAGATGCTGAAGGAGAAGGTGCTTTCTGCTCTTAACGATTTCAGAAGGCAGGCCATCTGGCCCTGCACTTTTATTTCTTTTGAGGCCCTTGACAGCCCAAAAGGTCTCAGAAAACTCAGGTGCTGAATCGAGTTCTACTGCTGGGGGCAGCTCTGGGATGGTATCTACAGTAATATTTTTGGCTCAGTGGGGATCCTTTGTTTGAGAAGTCTACCAAAGTGTTCCACCCATCATCAGGATTTCCTGTTTGTCCTTGAGGAGTTCACCGCCGAGTGATCTCACTGGAATGATGTTTAAACTTGACAGGACCATGAATGGTTTTGATGGCATTGTAGAAGTCCTCATGATCGTTCTTGTTGATGAAGCTCTCGATTTCTTGAACTCTGGCTTGCCCCCTCATTTTCCATGTTTCTAAAAGTCCTCTGTGCTTTGGCTCTGAGTATATACCAGATGGCTCTGAGGGCAGCAGATTGTTGGTTTGATAGTAAAGCATCGTGGGGTTTGTTTTTGTTACCAAAAAGTTCGCGTTTGGCATCAGCGTTCCCATCAAACCTGTCCCGGTGACTTTGTCTGGTCGTGCCGAGGATGTCCGTTGCAACTTCATATCTGGGCAAGCAAGTTGTTCCACCATTGTCCACGTCTATTGTGTTGCTGTTTAAATTGATTGTTGGTGTGGAAGACAAATGCTCAGGTAAAGTGCTGCAGAAATCTTAAACTACTGTTGGGTTTAGAAAGCATTGCAAATTGAGTTTTGTGTTTAGAGCTCCTAATGGCACTTGGAGACAGATTTTGAACCTCATCTTAGAGCGGATTAGATTAGTGGAGGCGCGCGCGCGCGCAGCGCGACGCTACGCGACGCATCACATCGCATCGCACAAGACGCAGCGCGACGCACGCACGCGACGCATCACACGCACGCACACACACACACACACACACACACACACACACACACACACACACACACACACACACACACACACACACACACACACACACACACACACACACACACACACACACACACACACACACACACACACACACACACACACACACACACACACACACACACACACACACACACAACTACACTGGTACTTTTTGCTGTCACCCGGAATCGAGTGTGACGATCATCCAGCTATGATACAATGATATGAGTTATTAAGGATGTCACCTTCATTGGTGAGTTCTGAGGTGACTAAAGAAGCTGATATGGGACCTGCAGTCGTTGTTCACAGATGTTGCACATGTGGAGGGCTCCATCTATTGCAGGAGTGTACATACATACATACTTTACACACACACACACTAAACTGGTTGATAACTGGGTGCTAATAAGGGTTAACATTGATAACAAGACAAACCTTATATGAAACAGACATAAAAGACATTGTAAGATTTAATTCACAAAACAACCATTAAATAACCAATTAATAACCTTTACTTACTGGGAAATGCAACTGTTATCAGCAGCTTTAAAATATATATGAACTATTACTACAACTAATACTTTTTTTTTTTTTAGCCTCCAGTCTACTTCCAATAGCCACACCTTCACCGCCATTTTATTACCTTAATACTAAATATCCTAATACATAAATAGCTATCCTAGCTGTGTTGAGTTAGTTAATGCAGATCTACGGCATTCAGTGACTTAGCCTCATGGTCAATATTCGCAAGTGTTGCTCTAGTTTTGGGGCCGAGAGGAGAGAAGAACAGTCGACATCTCATCCAGGCTGTAACATAATTCTGGGCTGCTGCTTCTATTCTGATATCACCTCGAGTCTGGCGAAGAAGCATCTTGCACTTGGTCCCATCCCACGTGAGGTTGTGAACACTAGAGGAGTGAAGCTGCCTTGATCAACGTTCTGAATTCTCTGTATGCCCTAATCTTGTCGTTCTCGCCCCTGTGTGCAGCATCGAGAGCTATGTTACGGTGACATGCGCCATGGGGATAAAAACTGACGTCGTAGAAGGCTCGCTGTCCCCATCCAGAATCCTCATACTACGCCAACACGGGCTTCGTTGGGTGTGTTTGAAGTCCTATGTTGGAAGATCTCACCGTTCAATGGAAGGAGGGTCGGTTCTATCCTGACACGGAGATTTCCTTCAACATATTTGCTGTGAGATCCCTTACTTCATTAATGCCTCATGCATATGAACCCCCTTTCTTGCACACCATGGTGTGATCGGCGTCATAGGAAGAGCCACACGCATTGGGGAGGGTAAACCTTCCACTGGCCTACCGTACCTTAGAGCATTGGCATCTGTAAATTCTTGTTTATTGAGACTGAAACCATTTGCCCTTATCGGTAGCGTAATTAACCAGTTGAGGCGCCCACCTCCTGCGCTTATAGCTACTTTTTTTTCAATGGCATTTCTGCAACAACAGTTGCTGCAACTTATCACTTTGGCTGTGCTGTCGTTCTGTCGTAATGGACCTTGAATCTTGTTTACTTCACTGGTATCCACCTCCCTGGTTGCGTTCTGAGCTATTATGGTCCGTGAGGGCTGCCAGGGAGCTTAACTGAGTTTTGATGTTCGGTGGCAGCAATCTCCTCTGGATTGGTCAATCCCATACCTCCCAGTCTGTGGTGCTGTGAAGGATCTTTCTGATGGGGTTATGGCAGTGTTTCACTAATTTGGGAATGAAATTGACGCTGATAGCTTCTTCCAGAGGGTGGAGGAGGGACCAATATCAGATAGTGCGATCAGGTAGTTCCAGCGATGTTGACTCCATGGGTGAAGCCACAAAGCCGCATGAGGCTCTGTGTTAAGCCCCGCTCACACGATCGAGCAGTGCCGGTGGGCTTTGGCTTGCCATCGAGCAAAGCCTGGTTGTTGTACACACGGGTGGTTAGGCAGTCATAGTCGGGCGTAGCTAGTAGGTGGTCGGCAGTGGCGGTGCTAGTAGGTGGTCGCTGAAGATATGTTAGGTACTATAGTAATTGCTGCTACGCAAAAAAGAAGAACCAAATGCAGAAAAGGAATG